TACCAGTAACTGTTTAAGAGACTGCTAAAAAAATTTACGGAAGAAAAAACACTGAATCAAAACCCTTTTCTGATCATGAAATCCTAACCATTCCATTATGTACACATCTTTTTTCTGACTTCTATTTGCCTGAAAAATAAAATTCACCCATGACTTAACAAATATGATTGTCAAACATTGAGCCAGCTTTAACACACACAAAAAAGAACTATCAATCACACATCACTGATTCTCTATACTGGTTGTATGATTTAAAATTTGCTGTTACAGAAGGTGAACTGTACCAAGTAAAAGTCACTTCTTATTCAAATAAAAATAGGAGTAAACAACAAATAATCAGATATTCATCAGTCATATACAAATATGATAAATGGATAGACATCTACCATACAGTTGTATATCTCAAGTTATCAAGTTATCAAGTTTTAACATTTGCTAGAATATTTCTATGCCCTTGGAATCTGTAGTATTTTTTTATGACAAATGATATTAACCCGATCCAGACAGGTCACATGAACCGGTGTCATAACAAACTGCCTGGTCTGTTGGGTATGCCTGTATGTACCAGAGCGTGTGGAGCAGGACATTCCACTTGATGTGGTGGACTCCTGCGCCCAGTGTCTGGCCATTGCCAGAAATCACCAGAGTTTGTCAAACTCAGGGATTTCTGTTACCCTGTGGTGATGGGTTAAGGAAATAATCAATTAAAGTATGAATTCATTATTTCTTTAACAGAATATCATGATATTGGTATAGTCTACTGGTTTCTAGAGTAAGTCCATATCAGGCAGACAATCATGATAGCTTACATAAATCACATTTCTTTATAAAAAAAAATTAAATAAATAAATAAATAAATAAAAAGGTCACATAATCTATATTCTTATTTTTCTTCTAAACGCATTATGTAAGAAATGACTCTGCTGCTTAACCCATTGCCACCGGGGATGGCATGTACGTACATGCCATGCCCACTGTGAGTTGACTTGTTTGATTGTTTTTACACATAGATGGCTACACTTGTACTAAGTATCCAATGAGCCAATTACGAGTACTGCCTGTCTTGCCCGTTCACCCTTTTCATCGATTTACGAAAATATTTAACGTTATCCTAATTTGCTGTTAAAAATAACACCATCTATATTTATAGCACTAGTAAGAATGCGTTTTTTTTTGCCAATTTAAGGAAAGGTGAAATCAGGACTAGCACGGCCATCTATGGACAGAGATATTTCACAAAAATATAAAAAATGAGTATAGTATTCTCCCCATTTTTTGTTCATTTTCCCCAGCGGCAATGGGTTAATCCTTCTACCATACACATGACACAGCTCTTTCAAAATTTCATTTCCAGTCATCAGGATACCTCTTGTAATAATCTCTCTATCAAAATCACATTAGGGATAACTTTCATTTCAAAAATAAAGGTTAACAAAAAATGTGTTGGAAATGTACTTATCCTGGATAAAGGGCAGTCTCTGGTTAATGGAATATTTTTATCGGCCTAATTTGAAAGTGTTAAGTTTAATGTGCTTCACAGCTTGTTTCAGGCATTATACTATTCATATAAATCAATGGACCTTTGGTTTTCAACTTTAGAAATGAGCTAGAATGACCAAGCTTCATTTACGAGAAGCTGAACTCAATGACTACATCAACACTGGCCATCTTATGCAATATAAGACAAGGTTAAGATAAATAAAATCATTAAAAAAAAATCACATGTATGTGCATCTGACACACACACAACAGATCTCAAGACATTTAGGTATTCTATATCATATATAATCATATGAATTTACTTGTTCAATAGTATTAATAACTATTTAATATATGCAGTTATTATTAAGGTCTTGTGTATTATCATGGTATTATCTGTATGATATAGTAAAATGGCCTGTGTGAAACCATGACCAATGGCTGGGCAGCACAAATCTCAATAGAGACTATATCACCCACTGTTTTTTATCAATAGTATTACTGTAGTTTTGCATTAAGGTTGTTACAATGTTTAAAACCTAAAGCTAGGCATGCTGAGAACTTTTACTTGCTTTAGTTTAGCTGGTAGAAAATTGCAGTGAATTTATTAGCTGTTAGGCTATACTGAAAACATGGTAGCTAATATTAGCTTGCAACAGGTACATGGAATTTTAAAACATAGGTTTCATACAGACTGCACACTTCAATAAGTATTTTCTTGTGGTTTAGGATCACTTACATACAGTATACAATATCATGATCTTTAAGAACATACAAAAAAATCAATCAATTCCAACAGTCACTTCAAGCAACACAAACTGCAAGGACAAAAGAAAACCATGTCTCTCAAGGGATGATGCGACTAAGGGAAGAAAAAAAAAAGTTGAGATTCCTGTAACAGTTAAAAAACACGGTAGGCAACCTTTATTCCCTCCCCCCTACTCTTTTTAAAATAACACAATCAGTTTAGCCTGAGCTCACACATCTCTATCTTGCCAGAATACTAGGCAAAAAGACATCACATTGTCTAGCAGTAATTTAGATTCAGATAATGGTTATATAAAGTGTTTGTTTAGAAAGGCGCTTAAAATTCAAGTCAGATGAGTTACAGGAACCTCAACATTCTTTTCGCTTGACCCAATAAACTTCAGGGGAAAGCAGTCATATCAACAATAATGATAGAAATAACAAGTGACAACATTAATAATAATGATAAGGACAATAATGATAATAATAATAATAATAATAATAATAATAATAACAATGGCCTTAATAATAATAATAACAATAATATAATAATAAGAACAATTATAATATAACTACCTGAAACAAACCATTATTAATAAGAGGTAGAACTGATTGGCTGTGTTGGAGGAATAAAATAATATGTGCACAACCAAGTTCCTTTGTTTTTACTTTTTTTTTTTAAATCTTCATATTGCACCAAGTTACTCTGTCAGAAATTAAAAGGAAACATGACATTTACCATTGGGTCATCCAAAATAAAGATTAAGTCATGGTCACATACACGACAGTTAGTATGTTGGTAAGAACAGTATTGTAAAAAGAAAGAAAAGGAAAGAAAGAAAGAAAGAAAATCCTATTGCTTACATATCTTGCTACTGTAATTCATTCCATATCTTGAAAAAAAAAAATAAAATCCACTCCTGTACTTTCTATTTTAGTGATGGGTAATCATTCAAATATACAGCTGATGAGAAAGATCTTGCCTAATATAAAGAAAACAAAAACTGACTCAAAATTCTCCATAATACTAAAAAAAAATCACTTTTGTTTTGCAGCCGTACCTCAAAGAGTAATTTCACATTTTTTCTACAATATTCACACTATTTTCTACATCTCTTTGGAGTATTCAGCAAACCTTTAGAGATGACGAGATTTTTTTTTCTATTGCTGCTTATTTTGGAATGTAATGCAAATAGCCACTATGGCACAGAGAGCTGTTATGAAAGGGAGAGAAACGAACACCAAGATCACTCCTCCCTGCAAGCAGAGAAGTTTGCAAGTTGCACCAGGGCTTGCTATTGAAATCAATAGTGCAGCAGCTTACTAGATGATGCATATGGAAGTTTCAACTACTATTCATACCACATAATACAAGCAAATTTCATAAATAAATAGGCATCCATCAAAAACTCACACAGTAAATACACTGATTTATCAAAAGGTATGCATTTACTATCTGAGTTTTTCTTTACTATATTAACACGGAAATGTGTTTTTCATTAATTATATGCATATGTTTATTATACACACATCATATCTATATATATATATTTACACATTTCCATACACACAACATTGGAAGAGTACATATATATTCTATTTAAATTAAGGATTCAAGAATTCATCCAGCTTTGTGGCTTCTGCATTCCTCTTCCATTACAGAGTAAGACACATACATACAGACATTATGGGTTACATGAAAACACAACACTTGTAAGCCTCAACACCAAATAAAACTTGGTGCTTTAAAAAGGTTATCCAATAAAATTAAAATATCGAGGGAACGAAACTGTACTCAAATTTGAGACTGCATGTTTGCTAGATTGTCCACATGCATGTATAGAGATCTTTGTAGAGACCTTAAGGGAATATTGTGTGTTGTACTGCCACTTTCCATTTGAGTATTCAATGTCTGTCCTTTTACTTATTTTTTTCTTCAGCTACATGTTTCAATTCTGTGCTTCAACAAACAGAACAGAACCAAATCACTTTTTGTAACTGTATTAGAAGAGATAACTTTTCCGTGGTCAGAATGTAATTTTCCTGATGTGTCTATTCCGACCAAGATAAGGCAAAAAAAAAGGAAAAAAGAAAAGAAAGAAAGAAAGAACGAAAAAAAAAAAAAAAAATGTTTTGAAGTCTTTGTGACATAATATTGTGTGACCCCACTACACTTGTGGTCTTGTAATAACAACTGCAATTACTAATTATTCAAAATTTTACTTGCTCTTTCCTTTCTTAAAAAAGCTGATTCAATTCACCTTTTTGGGACAAATGAGGGTATACCTTGCTTCTGTTTTCAGATGAAACACATTCCAACAGGATCACACAGTATCACAACCTCGCATATATTAAGGAAAGGGCAGAATTATCCGCACTGTACATACAAATAACTATAACTCTTGGGAGTGGTCAGGTACTCCACACACATTAAGAAAAAAATAAAATAAAAAAAGACTGAAAAAAGTTATGGATAACTTATGACAGAACTATTATACACACAACAATAAAGGTCTGAAACAACTGGATGGGACAAAATTCCTTTGAGACTCCCATAATGCTGCTCACATTGCTTAAGACTAGATAGGGGCACCACAACCTCTCTTTGAAGGAAGGGTGTCAGGAATCTTCCATCATTCTAACTGTTCTCTTTTTTTTCCTTTTCTGAGTAAGGGTAAAAAGGAGGTTGAGAGGGGGAGGGGAAGACCATTCCCTTATCGTGTTGAATTTCCCACTGAATATTCACAAAGAATTTCTTTCCTTCTTTTCAGAGAATTTCAACACTTGGAAAGCTCCTCGACCATGGCTTCGAAGTCCGGTAAATGGCACGCCCAGTAGTTCATAAAGCTCCCTTCCCCCTCCTCTTCTCAGCTGTCTTGGTAAAGGACGATAGGAAAGTCTACGTGCAGGCATGGGAAGGGTAGCCGAACATCACCCTGAAAATTAACAGCATAACAGCATATGATCCGAGTTTCCACCTACATTATAAGAAAAGAAGGCATAAGTATGACTGGTTTGTGGTTCACTTATATCAAGGAACATTTCATCTTCACTGGAATGAGTGATATTGAGACATGAGATATAGCCAATCAAGCTATTCTCTGACAGTACCCACATTTTAACAGTACCACAAGTTTAATTTGTGGGGGGTTTCATTCAAATAATATTTCCAAACTCTTTTATCTAAAATTTAACACAAAATATTCACACATATGGATACTGGTGACCTGCATATCAGGAAAAATCATAAAGGTTGAAACTACAAAATTCAGTGAATATAAGGCAAAGACTTTTTTATGAACTCGTAAATGGATACACTCACTGTTAGTTAAACAACACAATCTCTTCATCCTCCTGTTCTATCAACATTAATACATATCTAAAATTCCGATTTGTAAACTCAACAATCCCCAGGACTACAAATAACATATTAGAAAAGAAGGAGAAAGAGAGGTATATTCACTTCCTACAAATACACACAACGTCACTTACCTGTGGAGTTAAATTAGTGAGTATTCTCCGCATTGTTGCCTTCACCCCGCGCCTTAGAGGAGGAACTTCTTCGTAAAACTCATGAGCCACGTCTCCGTCCTCATCAAAGTACATTGAGCTGTAAAAGGGGACGTGTGAGACAGAGAGCATACAACATTTGGGCATCATCTTCTCAAAAACAAAAAAAAGATATTCACATATATTATATATCAAAACAGCAGATACCCTGAAGTACATGAGTAAGGTAGAAATATTTTACAACCAGAGAAATAAAAACTTTTGTACAAGAGGTCACTCTGCAATAAATAAATATAACAATGTTTATGCTGTTCATAATTGATCCTTCCTATCTTTTAACACAAAGCCAACGGGTATGGCATGTACGTACATGCCATGTCCACTGTGAGTTTATTTTATTAATTATTTTTTCACATAGATGGCTACTCTTGTACTAAGTCACCAATGAGCCAATTATGAATACTCCTTGTCTCACCTGTTTCCTCTTAATTTTCAAAAATATTTTATGTTATCTTATGTTGCCACTACTAATGTCAATAACATTTTAGTAATTATAATGTCTATAATAAAAATAACACCGTCAATATTCATAGCAAAAGTTAAAAAGTTTTTCCTGCCAATTCAAGGAAAGGCGAAATCAGGTAAGGTCACAAGGTCTATTATTTGACTCCTTTGTGGCTAAGCACAAGCAGAGCCATCTATGTACAGAGACATAAAAAAAAAAAAAAAAGAAAAAAAAAAAAAAAAGACCACAGCATTTTCCCAGCAGCACTGAGTTATGAACCTTCAGAACTACTCATGAAAAATGAAAAAAAGGCCACTTCCTCTTCTTATGTGTTAATTATATGGCATATCAGCCATGGCCTAAATATTAGAAAAAATAAAATTATTAATCACATGCATCTCAGAATTAAAGTTCAGTTCATCGGTTTAATCAGCATTTAGGACCAGCAGTTATGCAAGATCTTAATACCCTATCTATACACTGTAAGTAAAAACACATGATAAATATGATTACTTTTTAAGCCTGTATCACAAGTTCTTTATATACCAGAGAAGGAGAAAGAGAAAGAGAAAGAGAAAGAGAAGGAGAAGAAGAAGGAGGAGGAAAAAGAAGAGGAGGAGGAAAAAGAGGAGGAGGAGGAGAACAAAGAAGAGAAGAAGGAAGAAGAGGAGGAAGAGGAGAAGAAGAAGAAGAAGAAGAAGAAGAAGAAGAAGAAGAAGAAGGAGGAGGAATAAGAGGAGAACAAGTAAGAGGAAAAGGAAAAGGAAGAGGAGGAGGAGGAGGGAAAGAAGGAAGAAGGGAAGGAGATGGAAGAGGAGGAAGAGGAGAAGGAAAAGGAAGAGGAGAGGGAATAGGGGAAAGAGGAGAAGAAGACGAAGAAGGAGGAGGAGGAGGAGGAGGAGGAGGAATAAGAGGAGGACAAGTAAGAGGAAAAGGAAAAGGAAGAGGAGGAGAAGGAGGAAAAGAAGGAAGAAGGGAAGGAGATGGAAGAGGAGGAAGAGGAGAAGGAAAAGGAAGAGGAGAGGGAATAGGGGGAAGAGGAAAAGGAAAAGGAGTAGGAAGAGGAAGAAGAGCATGAGGAGGAGAAGGAAGAGGTGACAAAGGAGGAGAGGGAAGATGAAGAAGAGTAAGAAGAGGAGGAGGAGGAGGAGGAGGAGGAGGAGGAGGAGGAGGAGGAGGAGGAGGAGGAAGAAGAGGAGGAGAAGGAAGACAAAGAGGAGAAGAAGGAGGAGGAGGAGGAAAAAATAAAAGGAGGAAGA